CATTATCTATAAGGTATTGCAATATTGTAGAGATGAGAAACCATAGCTTGAAAAAGCTAAGTGACCTGTTTAGTTAACTCGAGAAATCAATGCCAGATAGTTACCGTACTCAATAAATCCTCTTGGGTGCCTGGGTGGCTCAGTCCGTTAAGCGTACAACCTCGGTTCAGGTCATGATCTCATGGTTCCAATTTGAGTCCCATTTCAGGTGAGCTCAAACCCCGCTTAGGGCTCTGTGCTGACAGTGTGGGTTTCTCTCTCCCCCACTCTCTCTGCCCCTTGCTCACTTGCGCCCTCTCTCTCTCTCATAAAAAATAAAAAATAAATAAATATCCCCTGATCCACAATACATACTGTGATACCACTCTGATTATCACAGAGTGGTATACTAAGTGGTATACTTAGAGTATTAGTGACATACTCTAAAATGCCATCAATTTTCACTTTAGGAGTGGAAGAACACTATGCGTTATCTTTTCCACTAAGTTCTTAAAAACCCTGTATGTATATTTCCAAAAATATTGAGCAGTACACAGCATGAGCTATATCCAAAATATATTAACCTGTGCCATAGTAAACATGGATTCAGTACCTTAGTCTGCTTAAGTATATCAATCTATACTGCCCTCTTTAATAAAGATTATTCCAAATAAAGCTGTTGAAAAGAAAATGGAGCCTTAATTCCACCAATAATCTGACAGCAAGTTGTTTTACAAAATATCCAAATTGGAATTCAACACAACAACAACAGACACATTTCTATTTCCTGCTTTCCTGAAGCATGGTGAATATCTGTAGGAAAAAAAGAAGCCTGTGCCAACACATACACACTTATGGGCACATTTTGCTACATTGATTGCACAGACTTTAGATGATCAGTGGGTGAGGCTGTCTCCTCTGGCCAGTGTAAAAGGTTGGCAAAACCACAAATGGATTACATTTTAAAATGGATTGTACTTTCATTCCATCTAAGTACAGATAGATGTCAAAGAGCTTTGAAATCTCCCTCTTTGGATTTTGAAGCTAACTATTCATTCTTTTCCCACTGACAGAAGTAAAAGAAATTAATTTGCATTTTATACTGTAGGCACAGCTGGCTGAGACATACTATGAGGAAGGAGACAGCCCTACAAATAATGAGACTTACTTAGAATGTAAAAGTAAAAGTTGAGAAGGACAATGCTGTGTTTTCAATCTCTCCTTGCCTGGATCTACTAGATCTCATAATTAGGTCAAATCTCCAGCACTACAGGAATCTTTAAATATAATAAAATTGGTATATAAGCATCATCATCATCATCATCATCATCATCATCACCAGTTATTATTTATTCGATGTCTACTATGTACCAAGCAAAGTGCAATATTTTTTTTAATCATTATTAGTTACTTCAATCCTCATAACAATTTGTTGTGGTAGATATTATTATTCCCTTCTTATCTATGGGAAACTGAGGCTCAGATAAGCGGGTTGACTTTCCCAACATAATGTATGTAATCAGTGACTGTGAGAGGACAGCAAGAACTGGTTTCTGATGCTGCTACAAGGGCAGCGGTAGGATTTTTTTTTTTTTTTTTTTTTTTTTTTTTTTTTTAGGTCCTAAAAGGACAAGCCTGACTGGCTATCTCAGTGAACACTTGGCATAGTCCTGTGAAGTTATCTTTGATAGAGCTGCTAGGAAAGTTCTAGCAACTAACCTGGCAACTAATCTGGCTCAGAGTATAAGAGATTAGTCCTCTAACTATTCCCATTTCAAAGACACATAATACTCCCCTTGCTCTCTTTGCATTATTTTTCATTTCTGGATGGGACATATTAAATGGCTTTGCAATAAACTCAATCCTAATATTCCCTCACTCAGAATCAAGTAATATTATTTTCTCTGCCATTAAACCAATATATGAATTGCAAGCATAGAGACAAGGTAATAATGATTTAGTAATGCCACTGTTGAGGTCATTTGCATTTAAGAGAGGTAGGGAAAAGGACAGTCAGGAGGGGAGGGAGGGAGAGAAGAAAAGTAAGGAGAAGGGAGGTAGAGGCAAAGAGGGAGAAGAGAGGGTGAGGGAGAGGGAAAAGGAGAATAAACGAATGCCTAAAGTTTGCTTAGAAGAAAGAAACGGATAAATAAGGTTGAGTGTCAGGCATCAACTTCAGAGCTAGTTGTTAAAAGTCTAGGATCATAAATTCATTTCAATAAGCTTAATTAGTTAACTACCTACCAATAATGGCAGAATATCATATATATTATTAATATAACATATTTCATGATCATTCATATAACAATGATTTTCTGTCTGTTCAGCGTAGTACTGAAAGTCCTAGCCAGAAAAATCAGGCAAGAAAAAGAAATAAAAGATATCCAAATTGGTAAGGAAGAAGTAAAATTACATGTTTGCAAATGACATGATCTTATATATAGAAAACCCTAAAGACTGTCTCCCCTCCAAAAATAGAAATAATAAATTCAGTAAAGTTTCATGATACAAAATAAACATACAAAAATCAGTTGCATTTCTATATACTAACAATGAACTCTAAAAACAAAATAAAGAAAGCAATCCCATTTACAATAGCATCAAAAACAATGAAATACTTAGGAATAAATTTAACCAAGGAAGTGAAAGATCTGTACAAAGAAAAGTATAAGGCATTGATGAAAGAAACTGAAGACATAAATAAATGGAAAGATATCTCATGTTCACAGATCAGAGTTAATGTTATTAAAATGTCTCTATTACCCAAAGCCACCTATAGATTTAGTGCATTTCCTATTTAAATTCCAATACATTTTTACAGACATAGAACAACAAATAATACTAAAATCTATATGGATCCACAAAAGACCTTGAATAGCTAAAGAACTCCTGAACAGCAATAACAAAACTAGAGGCATCACACTTCCTCATTTCAAACTATACTGAAAAGCTATAGTGATCAAAAGGAAATCCTGTCATTTCCAATAACATAGATAAAACTTGAGGGAATTACACTAAGTGAAATAAGACAAAGACCAATACTGTATGATCCTACTTATATGTGGTATCTAAAAATAAATACTGAAGTCATAGAAACAGAGAGTAACTTGGTGGTTGTCAGGGGTGACGGTTTTTGGAAGATGATCAAAGATGGTTAAAGGTTTACAAAGATGAGTTAAAATATGAGTAATATTTAGGCATCTAATCTACAGGATGGTGACTATAGTTAACAATTCTGTATTGTACACTTGCAAGTTGCTAAAGAGTAGCTCAGTCCTCAACATACACACACAATGTCACTGAGGTAATGGATTTGTTAACTAATATTATTATGGTAATCATCTTACAACATATACATCTATCAAATCATTGCCTCATACATCTTAAACTTACACAATGTTATACATCAATTATATCTCAGTAAGGCTGTGGAAAAAAATCTATTCTACTCCATTTAATAGGGTAACTGTGAATTGAAATGAGAAATGTAAAAGCCCCTTTATTAAAACTTAAACTTTCTAAAAGTCTGAAGAATTGTCACATTAATTTAAAAAAAAATCCTTGTCAGAATTATAATTTAATTACATTAAACACCTGGGTGTTGGCTGTGTCCTTAGGCATCAGTTCTTTAAAATAAAAGGGACTTGTTTACTTACCTTGGAGGGTTATGAAGAGCTCAAATGAAATAACATGAGTACAAGTGCTTCAACCATGTGTACAATTCTGATTATTTAAAAGTCCACTCAAATTTCACCACAAAAAATTCTCTTACCAAAACCTCACTGTTAGCACACGGCAACCTAATTTTTTTAAAATCCTTATATAAAAAATTGGAAACAACCAAAGAATTTGGACTTCGAAGAACAATCTGCACTTTAATTCTATCATAAGTTAATAAAGTGCTAAGTTATCCCAAAATACTTACATAAAAATAATTATCAAAATCCTATAGACCAATTTCATTAAATAGTTCTTTACTGCAAAGATCAAAAGTGAAAATAATGATGATTTGAGAGCACAAGAATGAAATCAGGTTCCTCAAAAAAATGTATGTAAATTCAATAATCTCTGGAAGCTATTCTTTTTTAACAGGCCAAATACAAGCTGTGTTCCATAAAGGCTTGTATTTCCACTCAGAGCAGTGACTTCGAGTTGCACTGCTTTGCCACAGCTAGAGTTTTCTCACAACAGCTGAGAGTATCCCATCCACACAGCAGTCAAGTTACTCATTATCTAGAATGCTGGATATAAAATCATCAGCTTCCAATTGTTTGGTGGGATGAGGCATGAAAACATTGCAAAGAACTGACAAAGAAAAGAGATTCGAATCCTCTTCCATCTCAAATGACCTCTAAAATGGAGAGGGGTCATGAAATCAATGTTTTCACCCACCCAACAGGGTAGATGATTGAGTCATCAAGAAACCGTGGCCCAGAAAAGCAACAACACTGCAAAACAAGTCAGCACAAGAAAGAAAATAAACACAGACACAGACACCAATCTTGCTCATGATATGGCCTCTAGCAGGAATGTAAACTAAATTTTAGACAGTGAAAGTAGTCCCTTGAAACAAAAAATATTCCACCAATCCACATTCTGTGAATATTTTAACTGGTCCAGAGGCCACATTTATTTTGCAATTGCAAAGACATAACCTCTCTGAGAGGCAAAGACAATTGGGATTTCCTGTGTCTCTCTGCCATTACCACCTATTTTTCCAAGCTTGTTGCAGCTGTATGCACCAATTCCATACTTTAAATGCCTAGAATAGCCCTTGGTCTTCTTCCAGGGTCTTAGCATCTTTCTTTTATTGCTCAATTACATCTTGCCTATACATCTCTCCCAGGGATTTAGAGATGAGACTAAGAGGGTGGCAGCATCACTGAGGAAAGATACTGACTCCGTCTCTCTCCACCAGATTTACTGTAGTAGCAGTACTTTTGGGGGACCTGTGGTCTGGATATGAACCAGAGTAACCTTAAAGCAGAGCTCAGTCTGGCTTCATTCTTAGAAAAACTTACAGCTTTCAATTTCCAAGGTGCAGTTTTGTTCATCCAGTGGGTACCGCCTTAGGTCCATCATGCAGGCAGCTGTGGTTGTGATTCTAGAAGAGAAATAGCAATGATACATGCTGTTAGCTGGTCCATGGCTGGAACTGGAAAAATTAAATCCAAGAATCAAAGAGGACAGAATTGGGCCTCTAGGAGACTGACTTAAGCCAAAATCCTAACGAAAAAGGGTGCCACAAGTTCAGATAACCATTTTCCTTTATGAGCCTTGGGCTGATGTATTAAAAAAAAATTGGACAAAATCAGTATTTTCCCAAAGTGTGGTCCATTACCTACTTGTACCAAAACCATCTGGGAGCATTTGTTAAACAGGCAGTTTCCATGCTCCAGAATGTCTTGGGGCAGGGAGGGATGGTCCCAGGGCTCTTTATTTTTCTAAGCATTACAGGTGATTAAGAATATCAACATAGATAATTCCTCTTCCACTCACATTTGTTTCCTCCTCTCTCTAATGTTAATTAAATCTTGGATTTGATGCATCATTTTTGACATTTATATACATTGTATAGTACTTATCAAGTGCTTTAATACAATACAGTATCAGCCTTTCATGTATCACCTGATTTGCTCTGTGCTGAGTAAAATGATATTCTCATGACCTGTTAAGAGAATGTCCTCTCATGGATTGGCAGATTTACTTATTTAGAACACCTGGTACCTTTATTCTTTTATCAGGAAGATGTGAACATGTCCTTTTAATGCCTTTATATTTCTCTATCATCATCTTTTTTTTAGAATGAGAGAGAGAGAGAGAGAGAGAGAGACAGAGCCCAAGCTGGGAAGAGAGAGAGAGAGAAAGAGAAAGAGGTCTGGGATCATGACCTGAGCCGAAATTAAGAGGCGGGCACTCAACCAACTGAGCCACCCAGGCGCCACTCTGTCATTATTTTTCACTAATCTCTTATTGAAGATCTACTAAAAGGAGTCAAAAATCATACAGTTCTAAATGATTTGTTAATATGTATTTTCTGATCAATAAGGTGGCATAATGTCATGAAAAAACACAAGTTTTAGAAAACAACAGACATAGGTATAAATTCTAATTCTGTCTTGCTAACTGATTGACATCAAGATGGTTAATATCCTTTAACCAACCTTAGTTTCTTTATCTATGAGAAGGGGATATTATTAACAACAATAATAGTTACCTAACAGGATTTCTATAAGAATAATTTGTATACAGAATATAGAAGAGTACCTACATACAGTGTGTCCTTTCAATCTGCTGGAAAAATAAAAACTAACAAGAAATTGATATTGAATTTGACCAACTTTGGCTCACTCTACTCTGAAGGGCACTTTACTATGAGTTAAGAATAGAAAAATAAGATACAGCCCCAGCTTGGGATAAACAGTCTCCAGATAGATATTTTTTATTAAAAGGTTGGGCACAGTTTGCAAGTAATCTAGGTAGACTGAGTCTATGAAATTCCTCAGTTAGGTGTGAGAGTCCCACTCCTTAGTTGTAGGATGGAAATATGTGACTAACTAAGTGTAAGTAGTTCATACCTCTTTAGTTTGGTTACTGCTTCATTAAGGTTTGTGCTCTGTTAACTTTTGTTTTTCTTTTTAGTAGGAAGTTGAGTATCCTAGGGCTGATGTTCATCCCTGATTACTTCCTTTCCTTCGCCAAGAGTTAGCTACTCTGCCTCAGCTCCTTTCCATCTCCATTGTCTCCCTCAAAATCTATGGCCCTGTTGCCTTACCTCATATAATTATTGTAGATAGGTCTCCTGGCCTCTCCATTTGCCTCCCTACCATCCATTATCCACACAGCAGTCAGATCTTTTAAAAACGTAGATTAGATTTTATCATTCCTCTGCTTCAAATTTTAATGGTTCTTCCAAAAAGATCCAAAATTTTGACTGTGTCCTACTGTGCTCTAAATAATCTGCCTCTTCCTAAAATCTCAATATTATCTCATACCAAGTCCTTTCTATCTTCCAGTCTTCACATTTGTTCTTTCTGCCTAGAATATGTGTCTCTCCGAACTTCACAAGGCCCTCTTTTATGATCCTTCACCTCAAAGGTCACCTCCTCTAAGAGGCCTTTTCCCAAGCAGCCCATCCAAAGTGGTTGCCTTAACTAATGTTCCATCCTGTTTATTTCCTTTAGGCAAGTATCATAATCTGAAATTATCTTGCTTATTTATCTTACTTTTTAAGATTTTTAATGAAGTACAGTTGACATATAATATTAAATTAGTTTCAGGTATATAGCATAGTGATTAAACAATTACTCAGCCATAAGAAAAGAATGAAATATTATCATTCACAACAACATGGATGGACCTAGCAGATATCATGGTAAGTGAAATAAACCACACACAGAACGAGAAATGCCATTTGATTTCACTTACATGTGGAATATAATAAACAAAACAAATGAACAAACAAACAACAACAAAGGGAGAAACAGACTCATAAATATAGAGAACTGGTGATGGCCCAAGGGGAGGGGGCTAGGGGAATGGGTGAAAGGGATTAAGAGGAAAAAACTTTTTCTCCCTCCCTTCCTTCCTTCCTTCCTTCCTTCCTTCCT